CCTGGGACTATGGGCCTTGTGATAACCGATGTTTAAAAGTACTGTTTCTGCCCCTTGGACTTTTAACTGGAACAGATTCAAACATGTGGCGGCGGCCATCTTAAATTGTCCAGCAGTGTTTTGTCTTCGAGTGTATGGAGCTGTTTTGGGAATGGGACCATGTTCATGGTGGGGCAAAAATAAGACTTCCATGAAATTCCTGAACCCCTGAACCGATCTGGGTGATATTTGGATATGTTGTTCACCCAGATCGGGGCTATCAAGGGATGTGACTTTGTGGGGATATGTTGTATTGTGGGGTATTTTGGGGGGTTTGTAAAAATGTATGTTTTTTTCTGTTTAGAGTTAATTGTATCACAGGCAGAGGGGAGGGATTGTGTACACTGTAGGGGAGTGTCTGCATGTAAGACTCTGTTTTTATTGGTTTGTTAATTCTGTGTCCTGTGCCCCACAAGGTTCACCTGGGCGTCAACCTTGTGGGGAAAAATTGTTTAAAAACTCAAGCTGTTCAATAAACCTTCAGACCTTCTTACCCTCAACTCGCAGCCTTGTCTCGTGTTGTAGGGTACTGCTATATCACACTGGGGATTGCTATACTCTGTATACTCCCCTGGATGCTAATCACTAGCTCTTCTAAGAGCTGTTCCTGCTTCGCTTTCTGAAGGAAGAAAAGGTTCACCCACTGGGGCAAGACCCCAACCAAGCTGAGGCAGTTTGTGGGGTCTGCAGTGCATATGGTGTCTGGTGCGGTGCTGATGGTCCTTGGTAAGCACTAGGAGCATCGATTGATGGAGGGTCCATTACATTGGTGGCAGCGGTGGGATGGCATCCTAGTGCAGGGAGAAGCATCCTGGAGACACTGGTAACGTGTTAATCATAGTGAGGGCAACGCTAGCATTCATGCAGCGCCCCTGGAAGCAGAAGTGTCCATTGACTTGGAGAAGGCAAGAATGGCATACTCTGATGCTTGCAAAGATTTTCTGGCCGAGGTGAGGCAGCGAGTGACCTGATGTGTGCATGGATACCGTCCAGGCGATCTGGAACCAGGTAACCATCGAAAGACAAGCAATGAGGGACCAAGAGTTCCTGCTGGCCAAAGCGAGAAAAAGAAGCTTCCAACAAAAGGAGGTTAGCCTCTCTCCCCAGAGGCAGCTGGAGGTACCCGAAGTAGGGGACCTCATAGACTGGTCCTGTTAGGAACCCCAACAGGCAGGTGGAGATGGGACCGAAGTCTCTCCACTGGCCCCACAGTGATGCTGGGCAGCTGGCCCAGATGCCCAACTGCAGCTAGAGCTATGGGCAGAGGAGGCAGATGGTCCTTATTCCCAAGCCCTGGGGGACCTCATAGACTGACACTGGGAGGAACCTCAAATAGCAGGTGGAGATGGGACTGAGGTCTCTCTACCGGCACTACAGGGATGCAGGGATCCCAAGTGACAGCTGGAATTACAGGGAGAGGAAACAACCGGTCTCTCCCCCCAGCGCCAGTGCATCTCACAGGGAGAGGAGACAACTGGTCTCTCTCCCCAGCGCCAGTGCATCTCACAGGGAGAGGAGACAACTGGTCTCTCTCCCCAGCGGCAGTGCATTTCACAGGGAGAGGAGACAACTGGCCTCTCTCCTCAGCAGCAGCATATCCTACAGGGAGTGGAGACAAGCGGTCTTCCTCCCCAGCAGCAGTGTGCATCCCAGGGCCGAAGGTGTTGTCCTTCCCCCCAGTGGCAGTTTACTTTGCAGGGAGAGGAGGCAGCCGGCCTCTCTCCCCAGCGGCAGTGTGAGCTTCAGGGAGAGGAGACAACCGGTCTCTCTCCCCAGCAGAAGTGTCAATTGCAAGAAGAGGAGGCAGCCGGTCTCTCTCCCCAGCGGCAGTGTAAATTGCAGGGAGAGGACGTAACTAAAATCCTAGTTACGGGAAAAGTACTGATTTCGAAATGTTCTTGTTAATTGTCCAAGATTTCGTTATTTGTAAATATGAGGTTGTTATCAAATATGTATGTGTTATATAACGTAGGATTTAACTAGAAACAGCTGTTCATAACTTGTGAAAAACAATCTATGTCATTAATGCTCATGGCCCCTACCGACATGAAAATGGGGTATAAATATAACTGACGTATAATAAAAGTTGAACTGGTTATTGAACACGTCTCTGCTATTCATTTCCAATTTCCAGAGCTGTGAATGAGTTGGCAAATCTCCATCATCCACAAAGGGCCCAGGCTGATTTTATCCCCAACAGGTACTACACTGGGGATTGCTATACTCTGTATACTCCCCTGGATGCTAATCATTAGCTCTTCTAAGAGCTGTTCCTGCTTTACTCTCTTAAGGAAGAGAGGTTCACCCACTGGAGCCTGGAGCCTTGTCGTAGGTCCAGGGTGGGTAGGAGACGGCGAGACCCCAACCAAGCTGAGGCGGTTTATGGGGTCTGCAGTACTTATGGTGTCTGGTGCAGTGCTGATGGTCCTTGGTAAGCACTAGGAGCATCGATTGACAGAGGGTCCGTTGCACCTTCCTCCTCAAAAAAGTATGGGCCTATCACGCCGAATTGTGATACGGTATACCACATCGTTAGTTTAGGGGAATGTAGCAGTCTTTCTTGAATCATTCAATGTTTTGAGCCCAGTAGCAGAAATTTTGCTTATTAACAGCTTTACTGAGATGAAAATGTGTCTCGTTGCTACTGAAGAAAGCTGCTGCGGGAGGAATCTGTGCAAGCATTTGCCCACACAGATTTCTGCAGTTGATGTAATTTGCTACACTCAATTCCCGAGCCAACATCATCTTGTAGGGATGAAACTGCAAATCTAAATGAAGAATCCTCCTCAGACTGCGGTCTGGCATTCCCAAAGCAACAGCATGCTTCGAGCAGAACGTCCTGGCGACTGTTCAATTGCTGCTCTCACCAGCTCACATTTTCTGGTGTTCTTATGGACCTGTGTCGGCCATGTGTACCTCTTCTAAGCGTGGTACCAGTTACCTCCAACCGCCTAACCCATGACTGAATTGTGTTCGCATTAGGAACTGCGTTTTTGCACAGAATGTTGAACAGTCACAGAAAAGTTCTTTGCGTCGCAATCACAGACTGGTTGTTTTCTAAATACTCCCACACGGCAAAGCCTCAATGTACTCCGGTCCAAACTATATTGGCTACTGAAATGGGCTGACGGACAGAACACAATGAGACCAGGTGTACCTGCCGCCTCCCACCACAGTCTGAGCATTGACCCCTCCAAACCGCTTGGTCGGTTCTGCCGCACCCTGTATGTACATTTTTTTAATAATTGATATTGTTTTAAACTGTAACCAACCTTACCATAGTAATAATACAATATGTAAGTGATTTCAAGCGTAATTTGTATGGAGCATAATACCTGTATTGCTATTTGATAAATCTCATTCACAGTCTTATGTTTTGTTAATATTTTTTTAAATTGTCCAAAATATGCTTAAAACAGCACTGATTTAGATGGAAATGTGTGCCATGGTCTACACAGTTCTAAATACCACTGCTAGAGTGGTATTTTCTCTAATAAGAATGCGTTATTGTGAAAGAGTTCTGAATGATTACATCCCATTCATCCTGAGATGCTTGGTGATGCAAATCTTTCTCCAATAAATTAGGAGTTAAAAGACTTCAGGATGGATTTGTACTGTACAATAATGATTTAGATAGTCTGGGAGGTTTTCCTCATTAAATAAACTTAAAATTGTATGTTTGTAAATAAGAACTTATTTTACAAAATAAAGGTTCAAGGATTATGGATTCCATGAAAATTCTACAAAAAAGGTACAAATCAATAATAGGACATATAGAAAACATGGAAGTATTTTCCTTAGAATAATTGGACAAAGACTTAATCGAGTGATCCATGAACTTATTGATCCAGATCAGGTTGGATTTATGTCGGGTAGATCAGGAGAGGAGAACACCCGCAGAGTCTTCAACATTCTAGAGGAAATCCATCTTAAAGAGACCCCCTCCATTTTAATGGCTCTCGATGCCGAAAAGGTTTTCAATCGAGTAAATTAAAGATTCATGCTGGAGACTCTGCGGGTGTTTGGAATAGATGGCATATTCTTGGATCAAGGCTCTCTACATGAATCTAACGGCGAAAGTTATAGGTCTCTATAGTGACTCTAACGCATTCAAAATCCAAAATGGCAAGGATGCCCTTTGGCACCTCTGCTTTACGCATTATCAATCAAACCCTTAGCTGCTCTTATTAGAAAAAATTTGAAAATTAAAGGTAAAAAAATTGGCCAGCAAGAATATACTATTACACTATATGCAGATGATGTTCTACTTTCACTCTCTTCTCCAGAATCTTCAGTGCCAGCCCTTTTGGATGCAATAGATCTGTTTTCCTTGTTGTCTAATTACAAATAAAATTTTTCTAAAACCCACATTTCGACATTTTATACTGAAAAACAGAGGAAGGAAGGATATAGGTGACTTTGGTCAATTAGATATACATAAAAAATTTACTAGAATTAAGATTAGACCTAAATTACTGCAAACTCTTGAAATGAATTATGAAACCTTCTGGGGGGAACTTAACACATTATTGACTCAATGGAAGAGATTGGAAATCTCATGGTTGGGACGTCTTTGTGTATTAAAATCATATATACTCCCAAAACATATCTACTTGTTTAGAGCAATACCATACCAAGTCTCAAACTCTATTATGAAAAAAATTGACTTGGCATTTTCTAACTTTGTTTGGGCATCTAAAAAACCCCAAACACAGTTCTTAAGATCAAGATGATTTGGGATATCCAGATATATATCGTTATCAGGATTCATTCTAACTCTTCCACATGATGGCGTGGAAGAAACGGAAGGAGACTAATCTAGGTTGGTATAACATTGAAAAACATAGAATATGAACATGTGACCCTTATTTTTTTGCCCGTTTTATGTCCGTTTGTTTCCCATTTTCCTTTTGTTTCAGTCTGGACCTGCAGCAGTGTTTCAAGCCTCTGCCCTTTCTTGCAGAGGTCCCGGGAAACATTTGACTTAAGCTCGTACTCTGCTGCACCTTAGCTGAGTGCAATCAAGAGACGTTATTCAGGAACCCCTCAGCTACCCCCCACTAACCCATCGCCAAAGTGGGGATACTGCTAAATCTGAACCGGAAACTGGTTCTCACGTGGTGTTCACTATCGAAGAGATTGAAGATCCTGTGTCGGACTACTTAAGATATTCAGCTATCAAACCCTACTCCACATATCATTGAAGTGGGGATCATTCCACTTTACATGCGCAATATCAGAGCTGATTTTGGCTCTGAAAAGTGTGAGTAAGACTGATTTTATTTTTACTATATAATTAATCTACCGATTTACTGTGCCATTGGAGTTTTGTTTTATTTTTTCTCTACATATGCTGAACTCCTAACATCTAATTTTGAAGACTTGATCCCATCAAACTTCCTAAGAATATTTCTCTACACGTGGGACCTACCATTACGGACTGTGATAAGTTTCCTTGGGACTATTGCCTACTATTCATTTTATCTTATATTTTTAATATTTGATTATTTCATCTTATATTTATATTTTATTATAATTTTAGTATATATTGTCTTTTATATATTTTAGGCGCACCCTTATTTCTCTGTTTATTTTATGTTGGCCTTTAAGATATGTCTAGCTACATATTGGAAAACAAAAACTGTTCCACCATGGTCAGCGATTAAAACTCAAATTAAGTTCCAGGCAGCCTCGGAGAAATATTTCTATAATAGATATGTATCAACTAAAGTATTATATAACAAGATCTGGTCAAAATGGTTTGCAATATAAACCCAACTTTCTTTCCTGCAAGAATCTTTACTACTCCAGAGACATCCAAAATTTTGTTAGCATGGGATCGCCATACCCTGAAACACCAGAGACAATAAAATTAAAATAAGCTGACTGAAAGGTTTTATTGTAGTTAATGAATGTATATTGTCTGTTTTTTTTCTTTCTTTGTTTGATATATAAACAGAAATTATAAGATATATCTATATTGATGTAATAATACCTTTGACTAGGATGAAGAGCTTAAAAGAAAGAAAAGATAGGGAGGATTTACTCAAGTATTTATTAAGTGCGGTTTAATAACTACATTCATCAAGATATCTGTATACATATCTTATTATGAAGTTTATATATTTTTTGTTGTCCTTAATTGTATTTGTAATACATTATAACGGAAAAATTTTAATAAAGAGAAATATATATTAAAAAAAATAATAATTGGACTTAAAAGAGCACAAACTAGTTTTCCTGGCACTGTATTAGTTCCCCCCCACCCTCAGGGGCCCCCTACGTTGGGCTGAAGGGGTTAAAATCCCTTCAGCCACTTACCTTTCTCCAGCGCCGGGCTCCCTCTGTGCTGTGGAACTCTCCACCCCCTGCCAATGTCAGTTCCAAAGGCACATGAAAACATTCCTATGGACGTTCAGCGTCTTTGCGGAAGCGCCTCTAGCGGCTATCAGTGAGACAGCCACTAGAAGCTGGATTAACCCTCAATAAAACATAGCAGTTTCTCTGAAACTGCAATGTTTTCAGCGGCAGGGTTAAAAATAGAGGGCTGGGCGCCTATAGTGGTCCTTTAATTACAGAACCTCTGAAGAGGTAAGTGGAATAGTTATTAGCTAATCCCATTTGTCTAATTACAGGTTTTACCATACTGCATTTTATTTACTCAACAGAGATTATGAAGGCATATCTTTGCACTTATATACACCCCCTTATTTTTCCTTGCTTTTTCCCCATTTCCCCTTCTTCCTTCCTCCTATCTTAATTTTCCCTAATTCTCTCATTTCATTCATTATCAGAATACATAAAACTCATGCAAACTCAGGTAAATACTCTAGAATGCACCTGGTTACTACAAGATGAAAAGCTCAGCCGCCTGATAGCAAAAGCCGTGATAAATTATTACTAGATTAGAATACATCAACTTTGTCTAACGCCGCCACTAGAATGGTAAAAATCTTAATTGTGCCTTATTTGCGCACAGATCAAACGCACGTTCAGTGGAGTGTCACTTGGCGCAGCTCTCCACCAGTTGTTATGTGGGCAAAACATTTATTTGCAATAGTTTAGAAACATTTTTTTTTCCCGAGGTAGGAGGGTGCTAAGCCAAATAATATGGGAGATATTAGTGTCTCTTTAGTGGCTATTGGGAGGTGCTTACTTGAGAGTTTCTAAGCATGTCACAAAATGGGGCTGATTTTAAATATGCCCTGTTTCAGCAGGTTTTGCATATGTCTAGTCTCCTTTAAGGAGGATTTTCAGAAATCTTAATTGAGATGCCAGCTTCCCATGAGTGGAGGCATGTTTTTGGTCTCCTTCTTCAGGCCTGTCATTGGCTCATAGAATCAGGGGGTGCTCACAGGAGAAAGTTGCACAAATCCATTTTGCAAGTAGCACCGGTAGAGCACAGCAGCAGCAAATGCCCCTGGCAAATGGCCCCTGGCAAATTTAAGTGTACAATAATATCTATTTTTCTCCCACTATAGCCCAGAGTATAGCCCATTAGTCCAGAGCTAATATTCATGCTCACTGACGCGAGGTCAGGCAAATCTTTACTTTAAAAACCAAAGAAAAGAGTTACCTGTGCACTATCCCAAATACCTATGCATATTAAATCAATGGAGGTTTTTTGTTTCACTCCAATGGCCATTAGGTGTAAGCCCACCTGCCACGTCAAGGCAAACCTCTTAGGTGGTCCTACACTAGCAATTCACCTTGCTTCCTTCAGCTTCAGCCAAAAAAATAATCTTTAATGTGACAGAAAGGGGAGTTGAATATCCATGTTAGCTTTAATTCCTGACAATTCTCATTCTTGTAAACAACCCTACCTGAGTCACTGTTTGCAGGTATAACTGGCACTTAATAAATACTTACTATTCCCCTAACATTATGCTTTCTTAGCACCTATGCCAGGGAAACATATCCTCTGCCTGAGCTCAGATATGCTCGACAAGCCACAATAATAAATATCTTAGATCTTTAAACTTACTTCTTAGAGTAAATAAATTCAGCACCATGACTATTTATTCTACCTAGCAATTCATCTTGTATATATTTCTTAGTTTTAGGTTTTCAGAAAAATATCAGAGGAAACGAATCAACTGTTTCCATATGTCCTATGTGTTTTGTTAGAATTAACCTATTGTACAGCACTGCTGAATATTTTGCGCTATTTAAATAATTGTAATGGAAGTGGGAAAATGTGCAAACAACTAAGTTGCACGTGTAAGTAAACACAGTGACAAACTGTGTGAGAGAAAAATCTTTAGCAGAAAAGAAAAATTGAAGAGAAAGCATTGACATTTTGTATTAGCCTTGTTAAAATGCCATAATGGAATTGAGAGAGTTGTGAATGAGTTAGCCTTTTTAGTTGCAAATATAGTTCATTTCAGCAGCTACAACTTCTATACCAAATTAAAATAGTTTTTCCCCATTTACTGTAATAGAACACAAACTATACCTGCTCTTTAATCAGAGAATCATAATAACAATGAAATAATATAACAGTAAATATGCATTTATAGAACAGAAAGACAGCAACTACCTGAATATGTATACATCAAAAGGGTACTTATGCAACCACATTGATACAATATACACAGTACAACCTGCTTCTTCTGAAGCCAGCTTTTAATCTTGTTTATAAAATCACATGCTTTCGGTAAAATATTAGGTATTCAGTGGCAAAAAATAATATGTATACATACAACTGTGAGGGTCTTCTCCTTTTCCTATCTCTAATTCTCTTGATGTCAATCATGATGTCACCTGTAGACTTGATGTTAACTGTTGGGACCAGTTTACTGCTCACTGTAAGAAGTGGAGATAGGATCATTATTTCCTCTATTCATCTTTCTCCAGACGTTTGCATGAAAGCGCCTTTAGTAAGTGAAAGAAAGAAAGAAATGAAGATATTTTTTATCTTTTCTATTCATCCAGGCTGTATGTGTGTTATTCCATAGCTGTGTCTTGAAGAGGAGCTGTTTCCCTTTGGGGAGTTTGCATAATATGCATGGATTTCTGATGGTGATATCACTGCTGGGGTATCCGGTAGTCAGAAGGGGAGATGGCAAAGGTAAGCTTTACTTACCTGAATCTGACTTTTGCAATCTTTTTCTGCCTGGTCCTCTTCTGCTCCTGACACTGAGTATAACATTACGGTTTATTGAGGATCCAGCAGAACCACTGGATTCTCCATAGATAGAGACAATTCCTTCCAGCTATCACTGGTGACGGCTGGGGGGGTTGACACTTCTTGATGGCTGTAGCTCCGGCAAGTTTCAAGAATTGTCAAGCGGAGGAAAATTACTGAGACGAAGTAGTTCCTACCTTGTCTCAGTATATCTATTTATTGGGTTGAAATTTCAGTGAAATTCGAACACAGTTAAAATAAGTACATTTATTTTACAAGGGGGAGGAGGCGGCTCTGTCTTCTTCGGGCCCCCCTAAGTTGGCATTGTAGCTTGGGGTGCAGAGGACAATGGAGTGCAGTGGAAGGTAGCTAATACAAACAAAAAACAAAAGGGTTAGACACCAGTGACTGCTGTAGATCAGGTTTTGCCAAGTTTTAGAAACTGTCAACCTCAGTCAGCCTAGGAGTCTAATAGTATAAGATATAGTTGCCTACTTTAAAGGGATACTCCAGACCTCTAAAGCACTATAGGTTGCTGAAAAGCTCTATGTAAAATTGTGTCCCCATTTTACAAAAAGCAGATTTCAATAGACATTGGCATTTTTATAAATTATAAATATTTCACCATCACCAATAAATGTACAATTGTAAACTGTAATACTTAACTTTCTAATGAGGTGAAATATGTATGGCAGCCTTCCCAGAGACCTTTTCCCTATAATCTCTTACACAGCAAAATACACAAACAAAGCAAAATGGAAAAATGGCTAAAATCTGTACAAAATAAGAATCAGAAAGGGATAGCACAGAGTGTATGTGTGTGTACAGTGGATTCAGAGTGTGCATGTATAGTGGATACAGAGAGTGTGTTCATAGTTGGTGCATCAAATAGGTGCATAGTGGATGCAGTGTGTAGTGGATGCAGTGTCTGTGTGTGTGTAGTAAAAGCAGTGTCTATGTGTAGTGGATGCAGTGTGTGTAGTGTCTGTGTAATGGATATAGTGTATCTGTGTGTTATGGATGCAGGATGTGTAGAGGAT